TTAACAACTGTGTTACTAATTTAACAACTGCAGTGATTCATTTAATAAATGAAAAGTTGTAAAATGGGACAAAACTCACTTAGCAAATTTCTCAAAATTTAGCAAGATAAATTTTGGCTCAATTATGGTCATACATTGAGGACTACCTGTAGTTTCTTTGGGGGAAAGGATGAGAACTGGCAACCTTAGGGGTAATTGAGTAAAGATGCGTTCAGAGACTAAAGTAAAAAATATATTCCACCCTTGCACCACTGAATTGCTATAAGAGTCCTGATGTAATTTCCTGATTTGAGCAGCAGGTAAACTAGATGGACATTTCGATGTCTTTCAATTGTATTATTCTGTAAGCAGTTTTGCAGTTGCTACCTTGCTTAAATGATATTGCTTTGGTCCATGTGAAAGAGGTCAGTTTAGAATGGATAACCTTTAATGTTCCTTGCCCTCTATTTCACATGAACTATCTTTATGGGCAACAACAGAATGCATCTAGGGCACATCCTATTAAAACCCATCCAGTCCAATTCATACTCTTCAGGAGGGTTAACCAGCCTTTTCTTTTTCCTGGCAGTCTTACAATTTAAACTGGCTCTAAGTTCCTGGAAGCAATCTCTGATAGTATTGATAGCGAAACCTAATAAACCCACATATAGACCAATACCCCTTATTAATCAGGATGCTAAGATTTTTACAGCAATATTGACAAAGAGATTGAATACATTTATAGATAATTCTATTAAAAATGATCAGTGTGGATTTATAAGAGGCCGACAAATGTCAGATGTAGTAAGAAGGGTATTAAATATAGGTTATTACATAAAGAATCTAAAATTAAAGGCTGGTTTATTAGCATTAGATTTATTTAAGGCCTTTGATTGTGTGGAATGGCCTACATTGAGGATATTAATAGAGAAGTTAGGCTTTGGAAAATTTTTTAGAACGGTGATAAATCAACTATACTCAGAGAATAAGGCAAGAATAATAAATGATGGTGTTACAGAGACAATAACCTTAAGCCGGGGAACGAGACAGGGTTGCCCCTTATCTCCAGTTCTATTTGCATTATTGATGGAGGTGCAACCAGGAAAGGTTCATTGATTGAAGGATACATTACTAACATTTCAAAATCCCGTAGCTATATAGAGAGGGTATATTCACATTTGAATGAATTTGGGAAATATAGTGGATTGCAAATAAACTGGGAAAAATCAGAAATGATGTTATATAACCATAGTAAAGAAGAGATGGATGTATTGAAAGAAAAATATAAATTAAAAATAGTGGATAGTATCAAATATTTAGGTATTGACATCCCAAAAAATATTCAAGAATTAAAGAAGATAAATTATGAGAAGTTAAGAAAGACATAAAAGATAAAATGGATAAATATGAAAAAGTTAAATTATCATGGTTCGGAAGAATTGCAGCAATAAAAACGAAAGTTTTACCAAAAATTAATTTTTTGTTTTGGATTATCCCAATTAAGTTTTTGGATCAAGAATTAAAGGAAGTACAGAGATTGCTGGAGGTATATTGTAATGGAGGTAAGAGAGCAAGAATAAGTAAAGCATTATGGTATGAACCATTAAAAAAGGGTGGGCTGGGTCTTCCAAATGTTAGAATTTATTGGTTAGCTAATCAATTAAGGGTGGTCCCAGATATTATAGCAGTAAATAAGAGATTTATTATGGAGCAATATAGAGTTGAAGGAATTAAGGGAAATAGGTGATCCTATAGAAACATATTGGTTTAAAAAGGATATTAAAAAATTGTTAAGAGAATTCAAAATCCCTTTTTAAAAAATGTGATAGAATTATGGAATAAATGGAGATATCAGTTAATGCCAGGAATTTCTCCTTTAACACCGGTGGTAGAAATGGAAAAATTCCCTAAGATTGAATTGAAAGAATGGATTAGTAAATTAAAAAAAAACCACCAGATATATAAATGGGAAGACTGGAAGAACAAGATAAAGAATATAATACAATTAAAGAATATTTTATTAGATACTAAATTAAATTGGTTGAATTTAATACAATTAGAGAAATGGATAAAAATGGAAGAAAAATTCAAGGTGAAAGATAGACAGTTAACAAAATTTGAAATGATTATAAAAGAAAGTGAGGAAAATGAAGAATATATAGGTAAAGGAAGAATTGGGAAAATATACAGAATATTAACTGAAGTAGAAGATCAGGCAAAAGGTTTAAAATTAATCTGGAAAACAGATTTAGGAGAAATAAACAATAAAGAACAGAAGAGTATATAAGAATATGTCAGTTAGAGTTAAGGAAAATTGATATAAAGTGATATGGAGGTGGTACCTAACACCAGGTAAATTAAATCAAATAGATGTTAAATATACAAATATTTGCTGGAGGTGCGAGAAAGAGATTGGAACATATAAACATATGTGGTGGGATTGTGATAGCGCACAAAAGATATGGGACATGGTGTTTAGGGAAATTAGGGAACTTTTGAAGGTAAATTTAGATACGTCACCGAGGATTGCATTACTGTTACTGGTGGAAAAACAAGATATAAATGAAGCAAAAAAGGAACTGATTGTAAATTTGATAATGGCAGCTAGATTAGAGATGGCTAAATATTGGAGACGGAATTGGGTTATTCAAAGAAATGACTGGTATAATGAAATATGGAATATGGCAATCAATGATAAATTAACAACAGAAATTAAATTTAAAAAAGGGATGATTAAAGTAAATAATTATAATGAAATACGGGATGATTTTATAAAAACAGTCTTGGTGGAAGGCAAAGGGAATAAACCTGCTCAAGAATATATGCTGATTTGGAGGGGATAAGGGCACAATTGAAATATATTGTATATTGTTATATGAGAAGAAATATAGGTAATAAAAATGGTCTCCGGGGGTGGGTGGGTGCACTGTAGTATTTTTATTTTTTATACTGTTTTTATTTTATGTATTACGTTTGTATTATTTGTATTTGAATAAAATAAAAATTAAAATTAAAAAATAATAATAAACTGTCTCTAAGGCAATATTAAAGGGATTCCTCAGGCCAAACTCTACAATTGTGCTCTTTATTGGGGCGACGGGGGAGGGGGGAGTTGAGAAATGTAAATATCGAGTTTTCCAAGTGACAAGTCACAAGCTACTATATGTCCAAGTGTTCACATGTTTACATCAACATAACTGCCAATCTAATAAATCAACTTACGTGTATTGTGTGTGTGTGTATATACACACACATACACACACATACATGTATATGTGTACATGTACACAGACATAGACACATATATACATATAGACATACATAGATGGTATATATTTATCATAATTCAAGGCAGCTTGTAGTGGCACTTGTGAAGTATATATAGAAAAATGAGTATCTTGATCAATTTACTCAGGACATAACTATCAACATATGTCATAGATATCAGTTTAAATAGGATGGCTTCCTTAGAACAGTCTGGCAATTGTATCCTAGTGGGAGTTATGAGAAGGTGCTTAGGAAACTCTCACTTAATTCATAGAACTCCAATCCTAGGCTATGCACCATGATTTTTAACTATGGCTGGTAGAACAGGACATGATGGCCTAATCTGCACATAGAGTAGCCTAGTGTTTCTCAACCTTGGATATTTGAAGGCTGGAGAATAGCTGGGGATTCTGTGAGTTGAAGTCTACACAACTTCAAGTTGCTAAGATTGAGAAACATTGCATTAGGCCAGGTTATGGATTCACGCATAACCTTAAATTGAAGACAAACAAACTGAATGCAATGAGTAAATCCAGCCTAAATTAAATTGTCAGTGCAATCCTGAGCATGTTTACTTAGAAACCCCCATAGGCCAGAAAACAGGGTGTACAGTTGGTGCTTAAACCCACAGGGTAGATTAATCAGAACTCCAGTTTCATTAAGTACAAGATTTTTGATAAATGGAGAAGATTGCAAAACAACTTAAATGGCTGCAGACTGAAAGCCAGGTAGATTTTTTTTAAAAAAAGCAAGACAATCATAGGGAATTGTACCAAATTACTCATATAGTGAAAAATGAATTGGCTTTGCGGAAAATGGTTGAAAGGTCAAGTAGAAAATTTGATATGGAAAAAGCCCATTTCAACAAATTTCTAAATGAAATGTCCATGATGAATCATTCATCTGTATCTTGTGCTTTGTCAGTTGTTTACATGTTTGTGGTTCAAGTGGAGAATTCCCTCCCTTTCTCCTTCCATTCCCTCAAAGGGTACTAGCTGATTCTATTTGAAGAGATAAGAAGAACCAGTAGGGCTATGTGCTATGTCACGGGTCCCCAACCCCTGGTACATGGACCAGCACCGGGCCGCGGCATGCCAGAAACCAGTCTGCGCAAACAAGCAAAGCCCCATCTGCAGGATGCCGGCAGTACAGGAAACCACTCCCCCTCCAGTCCGCCGAAAAACCTCTCTCCACGGAACTAGTGCTCAAAAGGTTGGGGACCTCTGTGCTATGTGATAAAATCCTGGGCAATAAAACAAGAGCAATCAATGAATTGCAATTTCAGTTTGAACATCCTGGGGCACACAAATTGGCATATGCCGCAGAATATTTTCTGTATTTGAATACTTAAACCTCTGGTTAATACATTTAAAAAAAAACAACAACAACCAGACAAACCTTCCTCCCTTCTTCCTATATGCATGTGTTTGGGTGTGCAATTCTTTAAAATTTTACTTATTCCATTGTATACATGACAAATTAAACCTTTCTGTTCCCCCATGCCCCCTTTTTGAGGACTTGGTCCTAGTTCACTGTTTGCAGTATATATTGCACTTTGTTTCACAGCCAAACTTTTAACTTCTTTTCGTGGTGAGCAGCTGGTCTGCCTTGCCCTCTCTTGGCTGGGGAAAGGCTTCTTGTGCTCCTTGTGCCACTTCAGAAGATGGCATGGGGAGAGGGCAGAGAGCCCACATGCCTCTTGCTTTTGAGTTCCTTTCCCACTCAGTTGCATTAAGGCCTCCTAAATACTTTAGCTAGACTGTTGTGACTCTCATGACAAGCTCTCTGTTTGTGCTAGAATGGCTTCTCTGTTCGTTAGGCCTCAGATGGCTGAGTATATGCAAGATGGTATAAGCACAGTGATGATCAGACAAAGTACCCGTGGCATGACCAGCTCCTCGGGCAACACTGTCTCCTACAGCGGAGTTGCTGGCCGCGCCATTAGTGGAGGATGAATGGTTGATCTGAGAGGAGGTTCGCTGATTGCTCCTAGACCCTGATTTTTGATCCTCCAAATCCTTTGTTTTGTCATAGTTCAGAACTTTCCACTGTTGATTGACTGCTTGCCACCTTTTAAAAATCCGGTAAACCGAGGGTCCTTCATGTATTATGAGACCTGCAGGATAAAGAGTATATGGGTTAGTAAACAAAGACAAAGGAAGAAGGCTCATAATCTACTGCATTTCTCTCTGGCTGTTTTTTTCCCCAGCATGCACCGCCTGGGACAGCCTTACAACAACTTGGGCACCCTCTAGATGTATAGATTTTAATTCCACAAATTCATAGCAATGGCTTTTCTGGATGAAGTCCAAAATTTGGGAAGGTATTGAAATTAAGTTGTGCTTTGGAGCTTCTCGGAGCATAAATCTCCCAATGTCATTATTTGGTCAGGTCTGTGGCATAAGTGCTTCCCAAAGGAAGATTCCTAATGCTCATAATCAAAAGGCATTCAGACGGGGGAAAAAATGCATGGTTGTCTGGGGGAAAAGGAACAAGAAGGAATGGGTGTGGGAAAACACAGTAGGGTTACAAATAATAGACAATATCATCTTTCTTCTATATAATTTCATGAATGAGGTAGAGTGACTTCCAGTGCTTCCTTGCCTGGAAGCAACCAAAGTCTTAATTCTTTGTATAAAATAGTGAAAGCTTATTGAAGAACTTTGAAAGCATATTAATTGCCTAATTGCCCTACTACATCAGATAAAATTCCCTCTAGATCACCATTTTTTTTTCTTCAAGCTTCATCCAACCAAATACCTCCTGGCATTCTAAGTAAGGCATTTGTTCTCCAACATTCAGTATTCAGAAGAACAATGTTTCTACATAAAGGAAGCCCTTTATATTAAATTCAGCCACCATTTTTTGCAGCTATAATGGTAATGCCAAAAGAAATGTGGGCCAAGAGAAGGACATACTTGCTCCAATTTGCTTTTACCCTTCACCAAGTTACAGATTTACAGCTTTTGTTGGCTTTCTTCGGAGAAATATATGGGTCACAAGCCTTAAAGGCTTAAATAGAATCTCATTCCATAGTCCATATGTGAGTATATAATGTATAAAATAAGTCTTTTCAGAAAAACCTTTCTAGATCTTATTACTATTTTACTACCCAGCTCTTTTTTAAACAGTTGGTCATGAAACACTACATTGCTCCATAACTATATACTGGGGAAGTGGTAAAAAGTGCAGCATGATATCATAATCCAAGCTCCATGACGTACATACTTGTAGGATGCAAGTCTAAAGAGCTGGTGTTTGTGATGACAGTCCACACATTTTATCACATTTTAGCTGTCTTGATTTATAGGGAATGTGCTTGGGTAAAATGTAAGTAAAGGCTTAACTAGCCTGAACTAGAACAGGGAGAGAAGGTTAAGAAAGAAGAGATAAAAATTATAATTTGACAGAGTAAACATACTCAACAGATCCTCTTAATAAATGAAAGGCTGAATATAACAACTCCCTGCACATATCTAAAGTACTAAGCTAGTGAAAAGTAACTAATAGGAGAGGTCAGGAAGCGATCTCAATATAAAAATTATCTTAAACTTGATTTTGCATGTGGTCAATTTAGAGAGTTTAGATATTAATCACTGGAATAGTGCCTTCCTCCAAAAATATTTTTTTTCTCAGAATATAGTTTCCCAGGTCAGATTTTGATTTCATGCTGTTTTGTTTGAACAAATTTCCATGTTGTTACATCTACGCTCTTAACTTCCATCTCTTTCCTTTTGGAATAAAAAAGATTATATAACTAACAGACAGCATTATGCTTTCTGCATATGTAGAAGCAATAGTAAATTTCTTTCCAAACTCAAGGTCTGTAAATAACCTAAAACAGTACATAACCAAATATGTCTAAAGCCTAATTTTGTGTACCTACCCAAACAGCAGCCCTCAAGATGTGCTGGACTGACTACCAAGGTGTGGAGAGTTGCAGTCCTATCTTTCTGGTGCTGAATATTTCCATATCAAAAAGCAGGAAACTCTATGATCTATAAACAAAGTTTGCTGATAACTAAGAGACTAACTGAACTAGTGGCAGGCAGCACACAAAGGAATAGCAGCAATAGTCATCCTAAGAAGTAATAACCTTAATTCCTTCCGGTGTGCAACTACCAAAACTTTATAAGTAACATCACCTTAACTCCTTTCACAATACACAACTTTAGGATGCTGTGGCTGCACCTGCTATGTGCTGCTCCTATACTTTAAATTTCATCTTCTAATTCCAGTACACAGCTGGTTATGCACTTCATTTTATGTGCAAACAATTCAAAACACTTTCAGACATGCACAGTGGCAGAGCTTGAACAAAACAGAGAATTTCTTAGCTGTTTTGGATTCCTAAAGGTTATAAAGCAGTGCCTGCTCTGAATGGTCACTCAATTTATGCAAACTGCATATCTACAGAGAAGGCGATTCTGCAAGAGGCAGATGCACTACTTCAGTAGGAATGAAGACTAAGTTTTCAGCAGAAATGTTTCTATTAAGAGAAACAACATAGCAATTGCTAAATACACCAGGCATTGTGTATTCCAGATAAGGAATATAAACTATAATTCACAAAAATCTGTGCTGTCATCTATACATTTCCCATTCTGCTGAATAGATCCAATATGTATGCATTTTAGCAAATCAGTTGTTCCCAGAATTCAAAAATTCATTTCAGGAGCCAAATATTGATACTGAGGCAAGATTCTACCTTCAAAATTAATGACAGCATTCCTACAGATCACATAAAAGTTTGATAGGAAATTGTGAACTCAATTATTTAAATCCAAATACACATTCTTAAGAATCTGTTTCAGCAGATTATGGGTTAGATATTGAAAGTTCAATTTATTTTATTCCTAAAGCTTATCACAAATATTTTATTTTCGTTTCTTTGTTTGTTTCACCTTCTAAACAAGCGTATATGAATTCCATGCAATTTATAATACAGCATTGATGAATGGGTTAGTATATGAACTAAGCACCCTTTTCTTCAGATAAATTAATTTTCAAAATATTTACTAAAAGTGCAAAACATAACTTTCTTCTACTTTGCCAGGATCCAGATTACTTATTGATTTCTTAGCACTCAGCTCAGGAAGCTATAACATTAAAAAGGAACAAGCAATGAACTCAGTGGAAAGATAGAAATAATAATGCCAATCTATTTGCACTGTAAAAGATGAGGATTTAGTAGGGAGATTTATCAGTTTAACAGTCATCAGCAAGGAGTTCCAGGATTTTCATCAAAATAAGCAGCTTTAGCAAAAAAAAAGGGTTCAGGTTTCACCAAATAACTGTGGCTTTTAATACTGAAACTATGTCCAGGTTTTTTTGTTTCACTTTTTGCTTCAGTTATGGATATCCATCTCTATTTTTATCATCTCTATTATTTCTATCTGTCTGTCCATCTAAAGATTTCGCAGGTGGTCTTTGACTTACAACTATTAATTCAGCAACTGTTTGAAATTATGGTGGTACTGAATGAAGGGACTCATGACCAGTTCCCAAAAATTACAGCTGCTGCAGCTCCCCACCCTGCTGTCGTGTGAACAAAATTTGGTCACTTGGCAGCCTACCTGTACTTATAACCACAGGGTTGCTTCCACTCTTACCTCCACCTCCCTCCCTGTTGTCTATGCCCTTTTGGCTTCCTGCACTCTGCAGCCCTTGCCACCCTAGCTGACTTTCACCATTTTCTTCCCCATTTCTGACCAAGCATGCTTGGCGTGGTCCTTCATGAGGCAGCTGCTAGCCACATGAGGCTTTCTTTACAAGATTGCACATGGTGGTTTCCTCACAGTACCTGGAGGAGATGGCCTCACGTGGTTTCCTCATGGAGAGCCAGGGCGAGCATGTCTCATCAGCAGTGGGAGCAAGAAGAAGACAAAAGTCAATGGGGGCAGTAGGGGTCTTGGAGTGAGTCAAAGACTATCTCTCTATCTCTACTTCCAACTTTATCATCTCTCTATCTCTATCTCTACCTATATCTTTACCTATATCTCTGTCCTATCATCTATCTCCCTACCCATATAACTTCAAGTTAACTCTCAGGTGACCATAGGAAGGGGCAACTGTAGGGAAATGATTCACCATTGTTGGATATTATTTAACTTCCTACATTAAATTATAGCTCCAGGGTGTCAAGGTGGTCTCCCATTGAAGCCCAAAACAGGTTTGACTCTGTGAAAGTCATCCCAGGTGCCCAGCTAAATCCAACAGGCAGCTATGCCTGGGAGTAGCAGTACAGCAGCAATACAGGAAATGCTGGAAATGGGTGGTTATTTCAATGAGAACTGTGAAGATATCATTTCATATTGCACAGGGGAAGGCAATAGGGAAACATCCCTGCATTTTATCAAGAAAAGCACATGGTTAGCAATATAAAGTGATTGATGACATAGTAACTGATTATGAGTTGCTGCGGTTGGATGGCAGTTAACATGCTACTGAGGAAGAGCTGAAGATCTTTTGGAGTACTAACACTATTTATGAGTCAGATAAATTAAAGCCTTCTGGATGTCTAGTTATCAATATTGCCATGCAGGAAAAGAAAATCTAGAGAAAGAATTACAGTGAGAATATGGAACAGAAAAGCATTGGAAAGCTCAACCCAGAAAAAAGCTGAAAAGAATTGACTATACAGTACATTAACATCTTAGGCATCAGTGAATTTGAATGGATCGAAATTGCACACTTTCTGTCAGACGATCACAGGGTTTATTAGTCAGGCTATGAAAAATAAAGAAGAAATTGCATTACTTTCATAATCAGGAAAGATATGGCAAATACAGTACTTGGGTACTATGCTGACTAGTAAACTTTGTGGACAACCTCTTAAAATGACAGTTATTCAAGTTAATGTTCCAGTCACTAATGCAGGAGAAGAGTTGATTGATGAGTTTATAAGAGGTTTAAACTGAAATTGATAGACCATGCAAGCAAGATATGCTGCTTATGACTGAAAACTGGAATGTCAATGTAGGAATTACTTTTGGTCCCTTCAAGTCAGTTTTGTCTCCTGTGAACTGACTGGACCAGTCCCTGCAGTTTTCTTGGCAAAATTTCAGAAGTGGTTTGCCCTTGTCTGCTTCCTAGGGCGGAGAAAGAGTGAGTGGC